GCATAGTGATCAGGCCATCACGGCGAGTGAAACATATAACGTACTCCATGTCTTTGGTCTGGAATACATTCTTCACTCCTGCAGAGGAATGAGCAGAATCATTGTTCTAATAATTATTTTCTGTTTCCTCCTGTATATCCATGTAGTTTTTTAATCTGTTACATTTTAAGATAAATTTGAAGCTGCACTAATCAATATTTTTGAGTCAAACATGTACCAAGAGGACTATGGGTAGTGATGATGCGCCCACAGAGAATTTTATCAACCTGCAGTTCTTTATTTATTGTTTTGGTTACTGCTTTACTGTTTGGTTCACCTACTTGTAAGTCTGATAATTAAGCATTGCTAAGTGGTGCATATTGTTGCATATCTAATGTTGCATAACTTTCAAATCAAACCACAATGGACTCCCAGCCATGCTCTGTGATTCCATAATTGTTAATCCCAGTTTTGGGTCTAGGTTATTACATCAGCCACTGACTACAGACTAAGATCATCTCACAGGAGAGCTTTTGAACTGCATGCCTGACTGCAGCTGTTAATATAGAAATCTTCTCATCTCTGTTTTTGTTTCTCATCACTGGTTATCCATGATTGACTTGAACTCATCATCTCAGTATTTTAGAGCATCCTGGCTACAGCCCTGGCCTGGTCATGAAGTCCCATGGCCATGATGGACACATCAGTCTGGTCATAACTAAACTGATACAGTGATATGATATCAGATTTTTCTTTTTTATGGTTTGCGGTGGGATGTATACTGGTTTCAGCACCATCCACAGTGTGACGTTCTGCCACACTGGGTTTTTACAATAGGCTCAATGCACACACTCACTTCATGTGATGCATTCTGCACTTAATGATGCTAGTAGATATTAAAGGAACAGAGTGTGCAAGCACAGTTGTCTGTGGGGAGCGGAACTTGTGAAAACTATGGGGCCTGGCTGAGCTAGTCGTTTTGTGCACTAATTACCAGCCCCCACAGCAGACTCTGATTGAAGACCATCACAAAGAGTCAGAGGGTAGGAAATTTAAGTGTTTCTAAGGTCTGTTATCTCTATCTGGGTCATTTCTCCTAAAGGGGGTGAAATTTCGGCAGCTCATTCTCAGAGCATCTTGACACCATAAACTATTTTCATTTCCAGCAAAAAATAGTTAATAGTTTAGTTCAGGAGTTAGTTATTGTAAAAAGACATTATGGGGCAGGCTACTCTTTTCAAACCACATGTAGACCAGGCCTATACCTATTTTTCATTTATATTTTGAGCAATAAACACATTGGTAAAGTTTGTCTTTCTTAAATATTACTCTGCAAATAGAGTGACAAGTAAAATCATGTTATAATACCATCACAACAACAAGTGAATAAATAAAAAAATAAAATAATAAAAATACAATAAATAAATCTTTTAGGTCATGCTAATACAACCTTATTAATGTCTATTAATTAGTTTTATTGTTTGTTTGATTTTGTCAGCAGGATTACAAAGTCCTGAACTTGATTTGCACAAATTTGGTGGAGGGGTGGAGCATGGGCCAGTACGAACATTAAATGTTGGTGCGGATCCAGTTAAAGGGATGGATCCAGGAATGTGTGTTCAATTTCCTTAACATTGCAAGATAGTATATGTTTATAATAATATGTAATAATAATAATGGTTTATGATCTTAATGTGTGAAAAAGATCTATGAATTAGTATAGTTTGGGAAAGAGCCAATAATAATCTATATGTAGTGAGGAAAATTCTGAATCCAATACACACAGAGTTGTATTTATTAACAGCAACGAACCTTCAACAATCTGCTCAAAAAAATAATATTAAAGAGGACGTTTAAATATTTGAATAGATGCTATGATGAAGTAAGAAATACAAGTGGTCATGGTTTTAGTGAGAAGTTCCTGATTTGGCTTTTTAAACTTTTTAATGTCACTTATTGAATATAGAGCACCGCCCGCTGTAGGAGAACGCGGCAGAAAACAGCAATTTGGGGCCGGAAAAGGGAAACATACGTTTGGCTGTAGCTGCGACTCTCAAAGAAGTCTGGGCTCAACGTCCTGACCAATTGTTTTAGGAGTTTTTTAGAAGCATATGGAAAAATTCCTACTAAACCAAGGGTCTTTGTCTAATTTAACTATTATTATTTATTATTAACTATTATTATTATTATTATTACTATTGAGATGCTGGACACTAGAATTTCCCCTGAATAAAGTATCTATCTATCATGTTTATCAGTCAGTGGTGGCCAGTGTACTTTTTTATGCTGCAGTCTGCTGGGGCAGCAGCATGTCCGGAATGAACACAAAGAGACTGGACAAGCTGGTGAAAAAGGCTGGGTCTGTGCTCGGCAGGAGTCTGGACTCAGGACTGTTGTGGAGAGACGCATGCAATGTAAGATGGAGGCCATCTTAGACAATACCAACCATCCTCTCCACAACATTCTGGCAGGACAGAGAAGCAGCTACAGGTGCAGCAAACGTCTCATCTCACTGTACTGTAGAACAGAGAGGTTTAGGAGATCTTTTGTACCCACTGCCATCAGGCTATACAACACCTCAGCCAAAGGAAGTGGACTAATTTAATTATTATTGTTTATTTATTATTAACTGTTATTATTATCAACAATGAGCTAAACGACACATGAATTTCCCCTAGGGGATAAATAAAGTATCTATCTATCTATCTATCTATCTATCTATCTATCTATCTATCTATCTATCTATCTATCTATCTATCTATCTATCTATCTATAAGCTTCCATAGGTTAGGTTAGGGTAGGATAAGTTACGCTAGGTATATCTGAAACCGCTACACCGCTGCCGGCGCCCCAGCCCAGATACTACATCTCCGCCATGCACCACCCTGGTAAAGACCGCTGCCAACCTGGATGACCTGGAGCTGGCTTTGGCTTCAGCTCTGTTAAAAAGGACCATGGTGTTCAGTGTGGTTGGTTTGTATCTATCTATCTATCTATCTATCTATCTATCTATTGCCAGTTATTTAAGTTATTACTTCAGCAATCATTTTCAGATATTACATGATATTACATGGGGGATGGAAACATGAAGAAGATGGGATTTCTAGCAAGTTAAAAGAGGACAGAATAATGAGTGATAAATAATTGGTACAATTGAGAAATTATTACAGGAGAGCAAGCAAAACTCTTTCTATAACCTTGATGTGAAGCTACTGAAACCTGTAGCCAAATTGAATGCTATGCCTATTTCTTATATCATTAATGTGTAGATAGATAGATAGATAGATAGATAGATAGATAGATAGATAGATAGATAGGGGTACTCAGATGACTGAAACTACATGAAACTACATGGAAGAAAATGATACGGAAAAGTGCAGCACTTGATCATTGGTTGCTACTGAACTGTGGCTTTGAAGCATCTGTTCCTGCATGGATCACAAGTTATCTCACCAATAGGAAAATAAAATAAACCTTAAACCTTGTCAGTACAGTAAGGAGAGTTAACATTAGCACAACCAATAACACTGTGTCAGCCACTGCCAGTTACAGCTAACAAACAACATAAACAAACAACTACGTTCTGATCCATCTGCTAGTCTCTGATTCTGGTCTCAACAGACTCCTCATATGAGTCTGGGTCTGACTGAGACTCAAACATGTGGCTGAGTCTCTCTGATGTTTCCTCCTCTAACTATCTTGATACTCTCTGCTCTTTCACCTGTCCACCTGGAGCAAGCAGGTGGTGGGCAGGGCACAAGAACTGATCCAGGTTTTTCAATCAGGAAGTAAGAGTAGATGAGCGTCACACCCAGTTTTTGATTTGTTTCACTTTTTATGTTGGAAAACCATGTTAAACAAAATATTAATCATAGCAGAGGATTTTCACAGAGTTTAAAACATGGAGAGGAATTTTAACCAAACAATTAGTGCATACTAATTCACAACTAGATTATTGTTCTGTGATTTGGTCCAATACAACAGAAAGTGATTTGAACAGGTAGTGCAGAATAAAGCAGCACACAGTGCTCTTCACTGCCCATATCAAACAAGAGTAAGTTTAATGAATAATTGTTGGCTTGATTACGTGTATGAAGCAGGTTGCACTATTCTCCAGGATGCTTCATTATAAATATTATCATAACAAAATACAAATACAATAGTAACATCTCATGATTTTCAGGGAGACAATGTTACTCTCCTTGGCAGCATCAGAAACTTATTTTCTGTTGCTTCCATGTAGAACTAGTTTAATACAAGACTTCGTAATCAATGGTGGCATGAAATTCAAGTGTCTTGACATCAGAAAAAGTTAGGATTGTATTAGTTTTCATAAGGAATTGTGTAGAGTACTAAATGACTTCTGTGTTTATATGATTTTCTTGTTTGTTCTGTTCCTGAAGATGTGATGTGGGATGAAGGGATCTATTCATCCCACTTTAACTGTGACATAGCGGAATGAGAAGTGAAGAGATTTATTTTATCAGTTATTTAAATTATTATATAGAGCTATCATGTGTATTAGGTTCTTGTTCTAATGAAGTTACTCAGTTGTGACATAGAAATTAGACAATTCATCTAGCTGTAGAGATGTAAAGCTGGATAAATTGTATAATTCTGACGTAAACATTTCATATAATAGGAAATAAAACCATACTGCCGAAGGGTTAAAGACAACATATAAACATGTATGTACTTGAGAACAGAAAATGTTTAAAGTCTTGGTTGAGCTATGATTCTACTCATTGCTCCTATAGTTAAGACCATGTTTGTTTCCATGTTGCCCAGCTTTATATTTCTGTCTGTAGGTTTTAATGCCACTCACCCAACACATCCAGGTCAACTTTGAAATTGATGAAGTGGGTGTGGATGTTCCCAAGGACCTTTTCTGCCACCTGGTGCCCATGTTTCCGACTACCGTCCACCAGATAAGAGGAGGAGATGTAGCCTGTGGCGTGCACCTTGGCCTCCACTGATCCGCTCTGGTAGAAGATGAAATCCCACATGTAGTCGTAGTTTCCTATGGCTGTGATCGTTCTGAACACTAAAGCGCTGTTCACCATCCCTCCATAACTGTTGTGGAAGAAGTCAGAGAAGTGCCTCCGCAGGGGCTGACCCATGTTGTGCTCAAAGATGCAGATTGAATTCCTGAATAAGACCGGGGCTGGGACATCAATGTAACGATATGTGTCTACATAGGTGGCTTCATAGGGACAATCCACGCCACGGACTAGTTCGTGTGCAAAGCGTCCTATCCCGATGCTCGAATCTAGAAACTTGGTGAGGATCATCCCCGGCGTCACAGAGCCATACACCGACATGGCCTCCTGCACGCTCAGCTCGTAGACGATCCTCTCACCCTTGAACCGCACATCAAACACCCTCATGCCTGTGAGAGAGCTCAGCCCGAAGGCAAAGCTCCAGCCCAGGTACAGGACGTGGTTCTTGCTGACACTATAGCGCGCCCCGTTTGGATAAAACAGCTGTGGGCCGATTTCCAGAGGCTTGTTCCTGGGTTTCAGAGAGCCATAGTCAGGGGACTCCTTGTAAACTATTTTCCTAACAGAGCCAGCATTATATTTCTGTTTAAGGTCTTCCACCGTGTCGAAGTACTGGCCATTATACAATAGCCGCTCAACTTTCCAGCCGGACACGTTAACGCTCTCGTGGTTGACCAGCACCTCGAAGCCCACCGGGTGTATGTACATGCCGCTCACACCCCTGAAGAAAGACACCCAGGTCTTTCTGTCCCCGGATCGGACTCCTCGAGGCATCTGCTCGAACGTGTCCAGCCTCTTGTGCTGGTCCACGTCGAAACTCTCTTTCATGAGCTGCTCCAGTTTGGAAAAGACCTCAGTCTCAAAAAACTGGAAAAGCAAGGCATACTCCCCGATGGTGACCGTGCGCGCAGAGAGAGGCAGCTCCGTCTTGTACCTTTCGCTGGTGACATCTCTGTGGTATATCGGGTTGGGAAGAGGCCCCACAACGTACTCCTTGATGTAGCCTTTGGCGCCGTGGAAGACCACCACCGTTGCCTCTCTAGTGGGCTTGCTGTCTTCGTTGTCCAAGTAAGCCAGCGCGTCTGCTTTCTTTGGCAGTGAGAGGTCTATTAGGAACAGGAAATTTTCCGATGGCTTGGTGATCTGGTTGCTGGATATGTCCAAGTCTTTCTGCTTGAGCATGTACTGCTGGACCTGTAAGTACTCCTCTCGGGTGAGATCCGCGAAGATAAGGCTGCGGTCGTCGTGCTTGCCCCGCAGCGGGTGGACGCGCTGAGCGGAACATTTAGGGGCCCTCTTGGAGTGGATGCCGATCAAGACGATGTTGAGAATGATGGACACGAGGACGAAGAGGATGAGCGCCCATTTCATTAGTGAGTTCATTCTCCGCTCTGTCATTACGCTCGGGCTCGGAGAAGGAGAGGAGAGGAATGAGTCCGAGGCAGGGCAAGCGGTCAGAGGGGAGGCGCGCCCTCAACAGCTTACGTTCCCACCCTGATATACATGGATTCCATAACCATCTGATCCTCCCTCTTCCTTTGATTGAACAGTTTTGGAACTGCGGTTTCAACCAACCCCTGTAAAGCTCCATAGCCAACAGGACTACTTTACGCACGCTGCTGGTGGATTTACTCCCGCTCATAGTTTAATAATCGATGAGAATCAATCACATAATTGAAACAGAAAATACTAAGTGGCATTTTGGGTTTCAATCAAAAAAAAATTAAAACAACTAATTTGTATATCGACACAAAAAAGCTTTATGCACACAGGCACACAGTTCCATTTGTCCAAGACCAAAAGCCGGACCCCCTCCTTTTTCTTTCATATTTCAACTTGCCTTCTTATTTTCAGTTTGCTACACTGGCACGGCAAGCATAGTTAATATAGCCTATGTGTGTTTCCAAAGAAAAACAGTGGATAAAGGAACAGACAACAAGCAATGAAAACAGTCTGAGAATAATAATTTTAAAAAATGACTAAAAAACTACGTATATTTTGTGAACGTGTGTACTGCTGTGATGTTTATAATATGTTTCCCCATAAAATAGCGACTAACCAAAAATTATGTCTTTTGAATGCTGTCTGAAAGCCTTTATATGATTCTGGTGGACATTTTATTTTACTTATTTTGTTGCCTAGATCTTTTAGGATAATATATATAGTCTATTAAAATATATCAGATCAGTCTTTAGAAACCCTAAAATCTGTGTAATAAAATTCAAACTCCTCTATATCTAAATTCCCACCAATATTACAGAGGACATGTTCCTTGTGTCCTTAGTGGTTTTTATTGCCAATGTTGTGCATTGTAAAGACACTAACTAAAATTTTTTGGCTCTAAAAAACCTACCTCATCAGCATAGTGAAAACTAAAATCATGCCAATTGGGCCACATAACAAGTTCTGTTGTGTTAACTATGTGCTTTATTTGTGGAATGCCCTTGTTTCCTTTATCTTCTGGGAAATCTCAGCCAAATCCCGCAATAGGTTGTATTAAATAAATATTTCTTTTATTGTTCACTCAGTAATCAGATATTTTTGTCGGTCTCAAGTTTAAATTGTGGAATCATCATTTTCAGAACTTCAGTTAACTAAATGACCAATGGATTGTTAACTAAGTTAAATCAGAAAGTTGATTAGCTTATTTGCATATACTGCATTTGCATATATATATATATACATATACATATATATATGTATATACATAAACATTTAAGATATAAGATGACATAGTCCTTTATAAGTCCCGCAGTGGGGACATTGTCCTCCTGTTCCTCATTTTTTAGATTTTTTCTTTATTTGTCACCCATCTGTAGTTTGTGGTGCTGTTGAGCTGTAATGCATTAGCCTCATTGACATAAATGGCTTGAACATGAATGAATGGAGAGATAAATGCCCATATAACATAATACAATTGATCAGCACCACAAACTGTTATTTCCACAATGATCACAAAACCATAAAACCTGGATTCTTTTTAAATGAGGACCATAATGATTCCTATCCAAAACACCCTCCCTCAAAATATCATCACAGTTTCAGACAGCACACAAACAAGACACTGCAGCACACAAGAGGAAAGCTTAAGATATTTCCCCCTAGAGTTATGTTGACTATGCTATTTGGGATATTACTCATAGATTTACTGTAGTAGAAGGACATATTTACCATTTTAAGCAAAAGCCTCTGGGGAGGTTCTGTAACTTGCTAGTCACTGAGCCTACATGTTTGTTTCTGTCTTTTCAAATTCAAAAGTAAACAACAACAAACAAATAAACAACAAAAAATATTGGTTTACTGGCAAATTCATATATTTATAGGATCGTCATTTTGAAATGTATTGTCTTTCAAATTCATCAGATTTCTTTTGTTTCACCACTCATATAATATCTATTACATATCTTATAGTTGAAACAGGTTACATGTATGTAATGTAACTATGAGGAACAATCACAGTAATGTTTTCAATAATTGATGATTGATTTGTTAATGTTGAGTCCTTCATGTAATAAGGGTTTTCATGTTGTATAGGAGCCTGTGTATCAAGTCAGTTACCAAATCCTTTATCATTTTCTGGTTCCCAACTGACAGTTGGAGAGTTGGAGGCAGTTGGAAGAGATCTGCTGAGCTCACATCTTTGGAACTCCACACCCTCAGATTTTTTTACTTTTCAAACTTAGTCTCCATCCCCAACAGAAAATTACTGAAGTGACATTTGAGGACAGCTAATTCACAACTAATTCAAAATGCAGCAGCACGTATTCTCACTGGTACAAAAAAATATCAACACATCACACCCGTTCTTAAAACCCTGCACTGGTTACCCGTCAAAAAAAGAATAGATTTCAAAGTCCTCCTGTTAGTTTATAAAGCACTAAATGGTCTTGCACCTCAGTACCTAACAGACATGCTAATTACCTACACACCAGCAAGAACCCTCAGGTCCACAAACACTAGTACACTAGTCATTCCCCGCACCAAAACTCAGGAAGGGGAGGCTGCATTTTCTGTTTATGCCCCACGCAGGTAGAACAGTTTGCCTGAGGCAGTAAAGACTGCCCCGTCAGTCAATCTTTTTAAAAATAGGTTAAAAACTTTTCTCCTCTTAACAGCGTTTGATTGAATGTGTGTGCGTGTGTGTGTGTGTGTGCGCTTGTCTACTCTGTGCTATTTGTATTGTTTGTTATTGTTTTGTTGTATGCTGTAAAGCGCATTGTGTCTGCCTTGTGCATGAAATGCGCTCTATAAATAAAGTAAAGTAAGTAAGTAAGTAAGTAAGCTATCATTCAAACTGCTTTTTCCACATATGCAGATGCGAGAACTGTTCCCCTTTAACACTTAAGAACATGTATATATTACACTTTATCTCAATTCTAAGAAAAAGAGCAAATTTTCATGCACTGAGCAGTTTTCTTCATACCAGCCTTGGACCACTGACTTGTTGACTGACAGTGATGGAACACAGGAATTCAGCTGGGACTGATAAAGTTTAACTGTGACATAGGGACATGTTTGATTTCCATATAATGAGATAGGTGTAATCAGAGAGTTTTATCTGTCTCTCCCATCAGTGAAGCTGGACCCGCAGACTGCAGGACCAACAATAGTTGAGACCCCTGTTGTTGTTTCTTCCATGTCCTTTCAGGTCACACAGGAAAAGATGTTGGTTCTAATTGGCCTGCTCCTGACCCGTAATGCTTCCTGCCAGCCTGGTGGGGAAATGTTTTTCACAGGTTAGCATGCAGCCTACATCATGATATCAATGTGGTTTTCAGACCTCCCTCCAAGATTTAGATGCAAGACAACAGCCACAAGTTTCACATGGACTAAGTTTGGATAGAAGAGACTGTTGAAATACGATGACATGCAAAATACTTTGACATGCAATGAGCAGTCATTTATTTTCCTTATGAAAACTCACACACATATGTCTGTGATGCATATCCTTAATTATTTATTCACATAATTTTTCTTACTTATATGATTTACATGCACCTTATACACACACATAGGTGTGTCTTTCTACATCATGTCCATACTCACAACAGGGGGCAAAATAATTAGCACTTACTTTTAGATTTGGATCAAATACTGACCAATCTTCATCTTAATTTACAAGAATCTATTAGTGTTGGGATCAGTGCTGAGCAAAGTCAAACTATGTAAACATCTGGGATTCCCTAGTCTTGTTTGTGTCCTACTTCACATCATGTTTCCAGCAGTTTTGCCTCTCAGTTGTGGCTGGACAATTTTGCTTGGACACCCTGGATTTTTGAGGTTGATTTTAAGGAAAGCTGTTGATGATGATAGCTGTTGATATCCAACATATTTGGATTGGAGTGAAATCTTAAGTGATGCAGAATTTAACTAAAAGTCAAAGACGTATTTGTGCAGAGCTATAAACTAAATGATTTGGGTGAGACTAAAGATACATATGTTTTAATGCTGTAGGAAGGATGACTGATCTGATTGGTCAGTAGCTTTTGATCTTATCATCTGAGGTTAATGTGCTGAGATATTATTAAGCAGGTTAGTCATATACCATAGGCTACTATAGTGATTTACCCTAGTTAAACGTGAGCCAGCTTTGTGATGCTAGAAAACCTGATTGTTGTCATTTGTATATGGAGAACACACCTTTCTGACCATGCTGACACAAAAGTCACCATTGTTCATTAGATCCCTTTTTTTTCTCTCTCTTTTTCTTTAAATGAAATTGTATTAGGTTTCATGCTTTTGTGAATGTTCTTTATGTTTTCAGGACCTTGTTGTTTGCTCTTTGCTACCACCATTCATTCTCTTTTTTTCTCTTGAAATAATAAAACAGTGTCATGTGTCATGCTATTGTGAATGTCCTTAGGATTCAATCGCCTTTTTTTTTCTTTTTTTTTTCTCTTTTTTTTTTTTTTTTTTCACAAAGAACATTGTTAAATTTCAAGCTTTTATGCTGTTAGAAATTCAGTTTTTTTTTTCATCTGCAATGAACAGAACAGAATACTTGACATCCTGACGACATGTCTTTCGTAGGATTTTTAGGTTCTGGGAAAATTGAACATGACGGGGGTGTATCCGACTCACTTTCCCATAAAAATGCCACGAGTTGTGTAACTCCTCTTGGCATGACTCTGCCTCTTTGATTGGGCTTTGATGGCAGCTGACCTGAGAACAACCTTCTGTGGTTCACTGTCCCAAGGATTTTAAAGAATGCTGTGATGATAGGACACACACACACACACACACACACACACACACACACACACACACACACACAATGTGTGGAATGTTTATAGATTGCAAGATTGATAATTGTACTGTTCAAGTAGTAAACACCCAAACTTGTTGCACACTTGCATGGACCCCTGGATCATGCACATACAGTTCAAATGTACATTCAAGAATGTACTCTTTCACACAGAGGCACACACATACAGGTCTGTTCCCACTAAA